TGAGGGTTTCATTCTCATAGAGGTATAAGTGAAGCTGCAGCGCTTCCACTTGCAGCTGAAACACATTAAAACAGACAGATGAGCAGCTGGCAGAATAATAACGCTCCGAGTCTTAGTCACCACATAAACGCAGATAATGGAAAGTTTGAGCATCGCTGTTTCCACGTCTCAGTGAGCGGAGCTGCAGATGAAACCGTTTTGTCAACTGATCGGATGTTCACTGATGAAGACAGATGACCGACGTGTAGAGATGTGGGCGATGTGGACGTCTGTGTCGTCTCACAGCAGACTGTGTTTTATGGACAGACGGCGTTTATGATCTCCTGCTTTGTCTTTTTATTGTTTGGTCGGGTGTTTGGTCGGGCGTGTCCAGAACAAAGTGGCAACAGCGACCGGTTCTGGGTTAAGTGTCGGCTTCTCCTTCGGTTCAGGAGTTCATCTGCAGGCTGCTGTTTGTTGCTGGCTTCGTCCACGCCTGTAATTTACTGTGTTTACAGAGGAAGCGGCCCACGTTAGCACGGCCGCTAACCCCAGGCTAGCACACCAGAGACCACGGTGACCCGGTGTTTTTAAAAAGCTCCTGAACTGTAAATTCTGTTGTTTTTTTCCGGCTCTGAGTGGACCTGAGTGGAGCTTTTGGAGGCTACGCAGGACGTTGACCCGACCCGAGTGGGCTCAGGCACAGAATGAGTCAGCGTCTCCTTATCTGACAGAAATATCTGCAGCTTCCAGCGTTTCAGAGCGAAAGAAAGAAAACTCTAATTAACAAAAAGGAAAAGTTGTTCTGGAGCTTGTTGCTTGTGATTCAAGGATCTCAGGGTCTTTTGTTGGATCACAAACACAGTTATACAGGTACAACGTGCACCTGTTCCACACCAAAACAGTAATAATAAGATAAATAAGAATAAAACACACAAGAAATAAAAATCAGACTTTGGGATGTGGAAGCATGTCGGAGGTCATTAAGGGTCACAGAAGTCTTCATCATAGTGCCCCGTTGCTAACCCCCCACAATGCTCTCTGATTTAGTCTGAATGATGCCTCCTCTGGTCTTAAACAGTACTAGGCTCCACCTGGTGGAACAACCAGGTACTACAGCTGGTCTACGATATGTGTTTTTTTACATGAATGTAGAGAAACGTAGGACTTTGCTGTCGTTTGGAGAAGGGTGTGTCTACTACTGCTGGTCTCTGCAGTATTAAACAGTAAACAGCTGGTGGAACAACAGCTGGTCTACGATATGAAGAGTGCATTTGCAAAAACAGATAACTCCATTTTTGATCTCCAGAAAACTTAATTTTTTGTTGTTTGCTTGAGATAAAGTCAATCAAACCGAAGCTAAGTGGATCTGACTCAGTAGAAACGACAACAATAGAGAGAACTTAAGTCTGATGGATATTGTCTCAGGTAGACGATGGTTTTCTGAAGGTTTGTGAGTTATCTGATTTTGCAGATGAACTCTTCATGTGTGTTTTTTGACATGAACGTAGAGATGTTCAGGATGTGGCGCCTCAGTAGCTCAACCCTCGAGTGTCCTACTGGAGCTTTACAACAAGCGTCTACATCGTATGAAGGAACAGCTTGGATTTAGAAATGCATTAAAGGAAATTTTAATAAACTGCAGAGCTATTTAGTTGTCAAACAGCTGATTGATTTTATGACCTTTAATGTCTTTAAGTGAATATTATACAGGAACATGGTATCAGGTTGGGATAAATGAACCTGGACTGGATCAGGGGCAATAAACAAATCAAATTATCACCTGTTTACCCTCATACACAGCTGGATTCAAAGCAAGGTGGTTGAATTCAATATAAATATTTTTGTTTGTTTGTTTCTGCTGGTGTTTGTTAAAAAAAGTATGGCATTAAAATGATCAATAAATATCAATAATGGCTGAAAGGAATCATTTAATTATGATGATTGATAGACATGATAGTTGGAAGCACAGCAGGCTGAAATAAAGCAGAATTACCCTTTAATTAATAAACCTTTGGGATCCTTTAGGTTTTTCAATCAGCCACATTAAGGATCAGCTTTCTTTTTCTTAATGCAGACACACCGGATTAATCTGAATAACTCACGTAACAGATGGATTGAATCACAGAAAATGAATGATCTCTAATTTATTTTCTCTCTGGTTCACCCACTAACACCACGGCTGCTCCTGTCATCCTGAAGCGACGATGAAATGATGCAGCAGCATCACAGCTGAGCTCAGGTCAAGGTGACTGACGGCTGGATGCATACTGCCCAACCTCCAGCGCTGCAGGATTATAAAAGCCTCCAGGTTGGTCTGCTGCCACTATCACACCGTGTGTGTGTGTGTTTGGACCTAAAACAGCTAAAAAACAGATGATTGCACAATGAAATAAAGCAGCACTGCTGTCTGAGCCGCCTGGCCACAGAGACAGACGTCTTTCTGCTCACGAGGCCCTGAAGACGCCACCAGATGAGATCTTTTCTGGTCACAATGTCAATATTGGACTCGTTTAAGCGATTGATTAACGCTCGCTGTAATTACAGACACACTGTTGTTGACTGAAGCTGTTTTTCCTGTTGCTTGTGTTCCTGTTATTTGTGTTCATCTTCATTCTTTTTGTGCTTTTAATGAGGACGTGGCCTCAGATTTAAACACAGGTTGAAGCACATCTAGCGTGTTGACAGCGCTGCTTCTGGATGTTGTACATCGACGAACATTTGCAGAAACGTTGCAGCTCTGAGGAACCCCATGTTGTAGGATTTGCATTGTGAACTCATGATTATTGTTTTTGTTAGAATTTTCTTCTGTTTTTTTAAAACCGTAAATATAAGAAAAAATTGAAGTTTCACATTATTTGCACACAAATCTGTTTGTTGACGCTCTGATAAAACAATTATTTGCTCAAATACGCAAAACCAAGTGTCTAAAACTTGCATTTAGTAACGTTTTAAAGGAGCTCTATGATTTAATGCCCATAAATAGAACGTACAGTCATTTCTTCGCATGGGAAAAACAGGTACAGTGAAATGAGGAAACTACATAAAACTAAACAGAAAGTGCTCAATGAAGAGTTTCTTGAGCTTCTCCTGGTTCTCAGAGAGTTTAGAGAAACAAAATGCACACGTAAGATGCAGTTTTTTGTGCAGGTTTGCTTTATAAATAGCAGTTTTGTTCATTCTCAACACGGCGCCTCCGTCTGCCGGCTGAACACAGAGTCTGGATTCCGTCTGTAGTGAGTTAAAAGTGTCACCTGAAGGATCCTCTCATGTGTTTAAACTGTGACTTTATTCCTTTAACCTTGTCAGGATTGCGGATGCCGGGCGGAGGAGCGGCGTGGGAGGAGGAGAATAAACAGATAAAAGGGTTTCTGTGTTCTCTGAGGAACCCGCTTTCAAACAGGTGCGAAGAGGAAAAAACCTGAGAAGTTCGAAGAAGCTGAACCGAGCGGCAGACGGACGGATGGAGACGTCCTCCATCTTTTATGTCCGGCTGCACATTAGCGGACGTGTTTGGGACGGAGCTGACACCAAACACGACTCAAA